ACGGCTGCACAACACCAGCAAATTGTAGGTGTGTCCACATTGTATCTATGTGGAATATTTATTTTGTTAAAAGAATGTAGTATCTGATCTGATATTTTTTTTAATCTGATATTTACAACATCATTCTTATCATAGCTGGGTGAGAATTAATGTCCAGGCTAGTAATATCAAATATTATTTCTAGTATTTTATGACAAGTGGATAAATCATTTTAAAAGAACAACACAAGACTAGCCCTAATTACAGTCTTCAGGTTCTTGTATTCAAATGTATTATTTTTGCCTAATCTCCAAAATTCCTGTTAAATTCAGAGAATTTATTATCCAAAAGCCTTTCATACCAACAGAGGAAATATGAGAGAAAACTGTGATATTTTCCCATCAGCTAAATCAGTGGTTCATATGTTTTTATCTGATATTCACAACATCATTCTCATCATAGCATTAGGTGTGAGAATTACAGCCCAGGCTCCAAGCTGGGGGGGATCAAACACGTGAAGCGTCTGCGGGTCCCCATGGACGCTGAGCCAAATGATGACATGATGGCTTCCTGCGCTGTTAATGATGACCCATCATTCAGTACTATTGCATTTGCTTTTCCCCGCTCAGTCTTTCCAACCTTCTCACTGGACAGAAACATTTCAAGAATTTTCTGTCTCATCAAAATTGAAATTATCCTGCGGTGAAAATAAATATGCAGGTGCATGTCGACCTTCCCTAGCCGCTGCACTGTGCCACACACCCTGAGCGACAGCTGCCGGAGGACCGTGAACCCCACTGTGAGCATCTACAGCAGGAATGGGCTGTGGGAGCAGTGACCCATCCAGTTCAGATTTCCACACTAATGTTTACAACCACGTCTTGCAACCGCACACACCTTTTATGGCACGATTGTTGGGTTAAGGCAGATATTAGTCCCTTCACATTTAAATGTCCTGTTTGCCTGACAGTTAGTGAACGATTACATAACTCCTACTGGGCTGCTTTGGGGACCTTGCCCTAAGAGTAGCTTGAAAGGCAGCCAGAAGCACAAGGGGTGTGAGCGAGGCACAGGCACACCTGGTACGGCCAGCCATTGTGTGTGTGAACCAGGGGGGGGGGGGGGGACCTTCTCCCTCCTGTCCTCTCCCATGCTCTCCGTTTGTTTCCAGCAGCCTTGGGGCACATCCCGGGCTGCTGAGCGATCAGGTTGTTACGCTAAAAGGCGCTCAGACGTCACTGACGATCCTACACAGCGTTGTACGTGGGTGGGTCAGGCCTCTCCCAGTTCAAAAGGAAGTTTCTGTGGTCATTAATGATACATTTTTTTTTTTAAAGAGCCAGTAGAGATTATTAATATGGAATTTGAATCATCACCAGAATATTCTCCAGAAGAATAGTAATGATGCATGATGGTTTATATCTGGTTCTTGGAGCCCTCAAACATTTTTGTTGAGAGTTTTGTTGTACATTTACAATAACAATAAAGATATTCTATTTAAGTCAAATTTAACTAAACTTTGTAATTGCTCTTGTTCTGACAATGCATTGCTTTGTCAGTATATGTCAGTATACATCATTGCTATATTACCTTCCTCAAGCTATGTCAGAAAAATTAACTAATCAGTATATATAATACAAACATAAACCGCCATTTAATAACCTACATACAAGCATAAGATCCTATATAAAGTCATACGTAGCACAGTGTTTGGGTTAGGGTTAGGGTTGGGCTATACGAACGTAATTCAGCTGGTTTGGCTAAGTCTCAAATCTCTTTAGTTACCAATGGTATCGGTTACTATTTCTATTGCTGTTTATATACAGGCATTTTAAAGTTATTCTGACAAGAATTACTTTTATAAGAGCAAATACCTTCTCAGCAGTTTACAGAAAGGATCACTGAAAGGGTTCACACATACTGATAGTGTTTCTAAGTTCTGTTTAAATTACTAGACTGGATCCAAAGAGGAAGCATAAGGAGGTTCCTCACACCAAATACCCTGCACCCACAATCTTTTATTTAATACACCTTTGTCTACGACAGCTTCTCTTCTGGATTCTCTCACATTCCAGAAACTTTAACAATGTGGATGACATTTGTAAGTTCTTTGTATCACCTGCCAAACGAAAAAGCCTCTCATTCACAAAACCTAATCCCTACATGTTCAGCAACAGATCCTGCCTCAGTCAGTAGAAGTTTGACAGAGTAGGATCACATGGAACGATATAGAGCAGAGCATCGCAAACCCAGTGTTCAGGGACCCCCACACAGTTGACATTTTTTTGGGAGGGACCAAAAATGTGGAGACTCTGGCAGGGAGCTGAGGGGGAGCAAAAATATTGGACCGTCCGGGGGGGTCCCCGAGGACCGGATTGAGAAACACTGAAAACAAAACAAACTCCCAAAGTGAGGGAAAGTGATGCAAAGAGCTGAAACTGAAGACGGCCTGCACTCACTTGCTGATCTTCCCAGTGACCTTCACCGAGCTGTTGGGGTCCTTTTTCTTGAGCATCCTGCGGCTTTGGGAGTCCTGCTATCTTCCTGTATCCCTCAGTGTCTCCTCGCTCCAGCACAGTGAGTGTCCCTGCTGCGACGCTGTGTAGTTAAAGTGAAGAGACCGGCTCTGGCTCCACCCATGGAACAGGTGCGCCAACACCCAGACATCTATCTGGTTCCACAGGACCGGGTCAACCTGTTTCTCTCATTCTCTCTCTCCTTGGCCCCCTTTCCCCTTTCCCTCGTTCAATTTAGACGCATTTTAACCTACTTTTCCCCAAACTGTGAATTCAGGATGCTAACACCTCTCATTCCTTAACCTAAGAAAACTTGACCTTGGATAAAACATCACACACAAGCAGACGTGTGACCTGCCCAGTTCTCCTTTCCCTACCTGCTTGTACAAGAGAAATTGATTGATGATCATAAAGTATGCATTTCCTCCCTGCATTCCTACACGAAGAGAACTAAACAGTAAACTGTGTGTCTAGTTGAAAATCCATATGGAAGCAGAAAAAGTAAAAAAAAAATACATAAAAAATCTAAGGGCATGTAGATGCTAAATGGGTGCTTCTAAATTTCTTATAGTGTGTTCCTTACAAGAGAGTGACACTCCACACATACCGCACCCCTGCCTTGTGTCTGGGATAACCCCCTTTGACCCAGAGCCGAATAAGAAGTTGGGACATGGCTGGATTATGGGGTGTTCTGCAAATATATATTTCTACACTGATTTAACTACACTAGCAGTTTAGGTTCTGCGCCTATTTTATGCAGTGATAGGGATTCATTAACTATTCATTCTGTGACATAATGCCGAAAAAATCCAGGATATGAAAGACTGAAACACCTAGTGGCTTTTTAATAAAGAATTTAATCAAATTGTAGACACAAGTTAACATAATGAGACACGACAGACAGCATCACGTACAAGTTCCCATATTAACCACAGACTCGGGCTTCGATACGTCAGTTGGTGTGAACTGACCTCAAATGACAAATATTCTAAAAAAAGAAAGGAGAGCTTTTGAAACCAGACAAATGTGCACAGGGATTAAATAAAACTCGTTGGGAAGATACAGCGAGAGCAATACGTAATAGCTTTACAATGGGAACAATGGTGCATTTTTTTCTGCCCCTAGCTGCCTCCACAGTCAGCGATGTGGGTGGACCTGCCCATCGTCTGCAGGATGGAGAGGAAGACTGGAATGCAGCCAGGCAAAGGCTGGGCCGCTCCAAAGGGCACTGGCTTCATGCGAACGCTGGCAAACGCCGCAGTCTCACAGGGGACTCCGAGTCCTGGAGCCATGTTTTACCAGAAAAACATAGTTCTCAGGTAAAAACACGACAAAAATGTTCATGATTACATTGATTAGTGGGAAAGCCTCCTTAGACTGACAGATTAAACCATTGAAGCGTGGTGACTGGGATGTACCACTGGGGCAGGAACCAAAAACTATACCGGTAACAGTGGTGACCAACGCTGGTGGAAGTTGACGTCGTGTCCTAGCTTCATCACAGATGCCCCCTCCCCCCAGGAAATTTCACCATCCAATTTTACCTCGTCGGTCGTTTGCTAACTCGGTGCCCCCTCAGAAGATGGTGCCCTAGGCGGCCGCCTATATCGCCCCTGGGAATGACCGGCCCCATGTGATGGCTATATAGCACCTTAGACGTGAACCTGTGACATCATTACAGAAATATCAATAATCACTTATAAGTCCATACAAGAGTCATTACCTCAAACCCAGAAACCGCAACATAAACCCTAATTTTCAAATGTAAACATTGGACAGAATGGGGGATGAGACCAAAATAGCTGGGCAAGGACACTAAGAAATAAAGCCTTTATACCTTATTGCTGTAGAATGGGGGTATTCTGGACTGTGTTTCGATAGCAGCTATTGTACTGTTACAGGAAAAGAAAACTGCTGATAGGACACGTCTGAGCATGAACGTATATAAACTGGCAGTGTAGCTTCCCACAGAAATGCAAAGATCCGCATGGACTTTTAAATACAATTAATACATTACTTATTTACATTTTTAGGAAAGCATAACAGATTATTAAGCTGGTGAGGTTGCTTGCCCCCAGTTCGGTGCATGGTTGTGGGGAATGTACTACACATGGCGGGACTAGGAGAGACAGCCAACCGACACAGATCGTCACGATAGCATGTGCTGCCATAGACGCAGACGAGAGCTGTTATGAGCTGCGATGGCACGCTGCTCTCGTGGTTTCAGCGGGTGTGTTTTTGTCTGACAGTGGCGCACACGCCCCAGAGTGGCATTTTCTGGTTCTCCACACCTTCCACCCCCCCCACTACACCACACCCCACGCCACCGAGAGAGGTGACAGATTTTACAGCGGCAGCAATTCGGGGAAACGTTTTCAGGAAAAGCACAATTTGTCTGCTTCCATGACTGAAAATGTTTCCCACTTTATTGTGGTGTGTGTCCAGTTACTGTTGCAGAGGAACAGAGACAGACAGCAATACAAAACAGCAATAATGAGACAGATCATTCATGTAGTTGTGTTTTAATTAAGAGCCCTAAATGGGGGGGGGGGAAAAAAAATCACAACTTGTGTCCCCGTTTCATCCTCAATGACAGCAGAAAACATCCAGGCCGCCAACGTACCAAAACAGCCGGACACCATCAAACAAAAAACTCAGTTTCATTCATCACGACACACGGGGAACAATGAAAGCATCAGGAGGCTCTATCCAGCCGAAATCAGACTCAAATCATGAGGAGTATCACTTTGTAGATCTGGCCATCTGTAGAAGAGATGGAAAACTGAAGGCTTCCCCAGGTCTCATCCGCTGCGTAGACCGTTTATCGAAGGGATTTCCTGGGAGGGTAGCATAACTCTCCATATTTAAGCACAGACACACGACGTGACATATGGCTTCCAAACCCATAGTCTACACACACATGCTGCCCTCCCCCATGTAACATACAGATATACAGTAGACATCTAGAGATCAGATGCACAGATGATAGAGGTGTGAGGGGCGGAGCAGGCCACTCTCCTGTGAGCCAATAGGAGCCCTTAACACAGGGAACTCTAGGTGAGGCTGAATTCCCTTTAGTCAGACTTGCATCCACGGCCGCATTGGGTGGGTGTCATGCTCCGTGTCACTGGCTTACGGTCAAGCTCTTTGCACAAGAGGTATTACAACAGGACAGGAAGTGACAGTGGCTTTGAGGGGACGTAGCCTACGGTGGCGTGAAGGAGCATGTGATGACTGATTCTATCAGGACTCTGACGTGCTCTGTATGTACCCACTGGACATTAGACATTGTACACATTGCCTAGATCTAGGAATATGACAAATACATAACACATGATTCCAGCAAGATACAGAAGTCAGCATTGGCCAGTCTGGTCCTAATGCAGCTCAGCCTCCCGCCGCCGGCGACCACGAGCCCGACTGAAACAGCTCAGCCAGTTACGCCACATTTTACACCGGCGTTGCCCTTCAGGCAGAATCGCCAAAAGTCCATCTTCTTTTTCTGGAATGACTTGTGAAACAGTAAGACAGTTGCTGATGGGAGATTGCTGCTGTGCCCCCCCCCCCCNCATACTGTTAGCATTGGGTACAGAAAGGCGCTTTTTAAAATTTGAAATTATAATACAATAAAGAAAAATACTAGATACTCCCCCCCCCCCACCCCCATGTGACAGACTGCGCTGATGAACATCTGACACACCCTCTTTCACGTCTCCAGGTGTATGCGGGGCTTAGATCCTGGAATCCACCCAGCAGGTGGAGCTGGTGGCCTCGGCCGTCATGCCACAAGCCAGGACCTCCCAGCGGATCTCCACGCCTCCCCCCCCCCACACCGGAATTTAGCTGCCGAAGCCGAAGATCCCCTTGATGTAGCCAGTGAGGCCTCCCTTGCCCTTCTGCTCCACCTTGTCGTCCAGCGGAGGAAAGGCCACGTGGTTGAGGGCCAGGTCGAAGAAGAGCGGCTTGCAGGGGATGGGCTGGAAGTCAGGCGGGAACTGCACCAGGTTGGGCTGCTTGCCGAGCAGGGAGGGGTCCAGGTGAAAGGTCTCCAGGCGTTCACAGAAGGGCTGCAGAAGTGGGGGGAGGGGTTTGTGGCGATGTCATCCATGCATACTGAACGCGCGTGTGCACAGAGATGAACAAGTGGAATGCAACAAGTCAGCCAACAAGTAGGGAGAGTCAAAATACCGTATTCAAGAAATATGACCCAATATGCATCCTGTGGACACTCGGAATGTACGGCACCTTCGGACCGTCGCCCCAGGTCCCAAATCACTCCAGCAACAAAACAAACCGTCCCCTCTAGCGTTGTGTCTGTGTTGGAGCGTTACTGAAGTATTCAAGTAATGAAGTTAGACTGCATAATTACCAGTAATTGCTATTAAGTTTGCTCTGATTCATGTTTAGTCTTGTACCAATAAACTAAGGCAGAATATGAAAAATATGATCGTTTGAACATTGCTTCGCTAATGAATGAGCATGTATAACACACTTCACATTTTTTTTTTGTCCAAATGCACATCAATTGCTCGTCTCTTTTCCAATTGCTTTTCTTCGCCTTTATAATATGTTATGTATTTGTCTTTTCCTGTGGTGTTCGATAACAGCTCCTGAGATGCCAGTCTCAGTCTCAGTCTCAGTCTCAGTCTCAGTCTCAGTCTCTCTCGAGAAACTTCACCACAGGCTTTCTGATTTCGCTCTGACCTTTAAGAGCTTCCAGACTGGAAAGCAGCAAAGATGAAAGTGCCCAGAGGAATTACAATTACTGAGTGAACTGCCTGCTAACGAGAGACCCAAGAGAAAGTTCACTGGTTTACTGGTGAATATTTAAACGGCACTCACATTCGCATTATTAACTTATTAGTTACATCACTGCCATGTGAAATACTACCAACCTACACACTGATAATGTCTCCCCCCCCCCCACCACTGAAACACTTACCTTGTTATCTTTGACCTGCTGCTGAGGTGTTTCCACAACATCTTCCGTGTCTGAAATTTAAAAATGTCCTTATGGGTAATGCAGAAATACCACAATGCAGTGAAGCACAAAGTCAAAAGTCACTGCAAACCGGGACATAAACTGGTACGGAAAAATAATACAGAGTGAGACACTGTAAGCAGGCGTCCAACAAAGTGTGAGCTTTATGTTCAAAACATCTGTACCCAGGTTTTTCTTTCTTTCTTTCTTTCTTTCTTTCTTTCTTTCTCTTTCTTTCTTTCTTTAGTAGCCTGAAGCAAGCTGCTTAACCTGAATTAATAGGGAAATCTAACCTGGATAAATATATTGAATATAATTCACAAAGTAAAGAAAGCATGAAACGCCCTGTATTTAACCAGAAGAGGTACTAAGGCCCAAAGATTAATCTTATTACCCAAGAGTAATCAATTCTTGGATTTGAGCTTGAGAATGGTTATGTATTGTCTAAAGTTGCCATGAGTTTTATAAAGAGAACTCATTAACTCAAGCCCTTTTAATCGCGGAGACATGCTGCATGATGTCATCGTGAAACTTAAATCAATAGACAGCATAATGTGCTGGCAAGTCGAGGCAAATGAGGCATGTGACCATCTCATTGACAAACACTCCTCTACGCATCTCTCTGTCCATCATTCGCCACAGCCAACACCCGACTGTACCCACCCAAAATGGCGGCCGCCTGCAGTGAGTATTTCTCGGCGTTGACCTCTGTGATCAGCTCCTGAACATCAGGGAGGTCCTGAGGGAAGGGAGGTTCGAGTGTCAAACATCTGTCCAGACCAACAGAAAATCTGACACCTCATTTGTCAGTGAAATGAGACCAGGAACAAACTGAATGGCTTCATCAGCCATGCTGAACTTGCAGAATATATATGCCTTAAGTCAACCCAACAGCATCAAGGAGAAAGTCAGATTCAGGGGCTGAATCTGGATCCCAGGCAGAAGCCAAACCTTTCGTAAGACCAGAGGTATGATGGTCACTGGTACTGAGAAACATTCTCTACATCGTCTGCCAATCCATAAGAAACATTGAGTATACAGGGATCCTGGAAGCACATTACAGAACTAGCAGATATATCTTTATATATCCCAACCCTGCCTACCTTCAGACTGTTGTTGAGGTTTTTGGCCTTTGACTGAACCTCGCAGGCGTACTTCAGAACACGCTCATACAGAACCAGGGCTTCGCTCCACTTCTTAACCAGCACGTAGGACTGGGCAATGAAGAAGCACCTTCCGGAAGAGAAAGGGGTGACTGTCTGGGTGTGCCCTGACTGCATTAAGGATGCTGTCTCTACAGGACACTAACAGTGACCAGCACATGAAAGCTACCAGCGTCCATCTGACATTTCGCAAGGTCAGTCCCTCCTGTAGTTGCACTTCTGAAGTTGGACTTTCATCCCACACTAATCACAGGCAACCAAGTCTCTGAAGGTACCTCTGAACACCAAGTCAGGTTTACGTTGAAATGAAGGGAGCACACAAGACAGCCACCCTACCTGTAGGCTTTGTAGACCAGCATCTTGAGAGAGACCTCTTTCTGGAAGGTGCGGTCCTCTTCCAGTCCCTGAAGGGTGGACAGCTCCATGAGACTCTGCAGGGTGGAAAGAGACAGATGTTTAGAGATGGTCAGTACGTGCAAGATTGTCACTATCTCACTGATGAATCGTATCGCTTCTCGGGGAGCCTTTCGCTGAATGGAGCAAAGGGCGCTGGTGAAGGCGTACCTGCAGGATGATGATGTACCGGCAGGATGATGTCGTACCTGCAGGATGATGTCATAGAGGCGGATGAGGTCCTGGGGCCTCGGGCTCCTCTTGCTCTCATCCGGCTGGACCTCCTTGAGTTTGACCTGCAGCACCCGGGCCATGCTCTCGTTCCGCTTGACGACCGTCAGCAGCTTGATGTAGGTCAGGTAACTAGCGGCAGTGACACGCGGCGCACGGGACGGTAAATGACAGGGCTGCGTTGCAGAGGTACTTCACATCGCAGGGATGCTGGGGCTTTACCTGTGCAGATACTGCAGGTTGGAGACCTTCCCCACCTCGCCATCCGCAGCCCGCTCTCGCAGCTTCTGCAGTCGGAAGCATGAGACCATAAGAGACCCAGAGACCACCAGACCACCAGAGGGCGCCGCTGGAGGGCCACTTACTGCGTCGGCTTTGATCTCCTCCCTCACGGCCTGGATGGTATCCCTGCACTCTGCTAGCAGGGTCTCATAAAGACGCTCCTTCGTTTCCTCGTTCGCTGCCTGTGAAAAATGACATATGTGGGGGGTGTACCAGGAAGGGGGGGGAGAGACCTGAAAATTCCACCCCCCTTAAAAATACACAGGTATTGTTAACTCTGACATTCCTGCGCTACACCCCATTCTGGCATAAAGGCAGCAGATCCTTAAGTGCTGTGAGAAGTGGAAATGCAGGTAAAGTCGCATACTTTAGCCTCCCGTCAGGCGATGAATTCTGCAGCATTCATGTAGGTTTGCCCACAGCGTAGTGAAGATTTCCTTCTCCCACGGATCAGGTGCACTGCTGAAGGCTGCAAGCTACCTTAGCATGGTACCTTTCCCCACTAATTTTATCACGTTAAACATGACTCACTCCATTCAAAAAAAGACTAACAATCATCGTACACAATACTCTTCAATGACCTTACATATCACCGTCACCCCACTAACCTATATATTAAGCTGAATTAATTACTACTATTATCAATATTACTATTGAGTCATGGTGGTCAGTCTTCAGGTCTAACATCAGCCACTAATCATGCGGTGCGATATCACGGCGCCCGTGCCACAGCACAAGACAGAACAGCATCTGCTGGCGTTGTTGACGTTGGCATATGTACGCAAACGAGAGTCTACAGCGCTTATTTCCGTGTGTCTGCGATACCGTGCCATTGTTTAGAAAATGACAAGCCATTACTCAGGGGAAAGGTCTGGCGTCGCTAATTCAGGCTTGTACTTCGACTCACGACCCGGTAGTCAAAACAAACCCCCGGTATGAGTTAAGGAAATACCTGCGTGAACACAAACACGCTCAATTTTACGCAGAAGAGGGGTGTAGAGCCGCAGATGCAACGTGGGATGCCACGTAATGCGCCAGGCCATTAAAGAAAGGGAAAAAACACACACACACACACACACACACACACACACACACACACACACACACAGAGGGAAAACAAAGGTGGAACTCCTGGCAACCAGCTCCCCATCATGCAGTAAATATGCGTCGCCTGTCAATGCGTCTAAACACGGAGAGCGTGGGTAAGGAAAACAGACGGATCACGTTTGTTTACCGGTGCCACCCATCAGCACACGAACATCTTGCTGGAGGAAGACCAGAGCTTCCAGTTTTCCGCAGTCCCCACCCAAAAGGGAAGGGAAGGGCGGGAAGAAGCAGTAAAACCAGTCCGCTCAGCGCTCCTATGGGTCAGCCCCGAGCACTCAGGAAAAACAACCCTCTCCATTCATTCACCCCCCCCCCCCCAACACACCCCGCACCGCGACGGGGTAACCTCTCAGACGACGGCTAGCAGCCACTACTGGCTGGAGGCAAAAAAAAAAAAAAGATGCACAAAACCTTTGCTAGGATTACGGCGAACAATCAGGCCACAGTACTGGAATCTAGTATGAAAGGAGAGGAGAGGAAAGGAGGAGAGGAGAGCACAGAGAGCGCAAGAGCAAACAGAATCGCAACAGGGCTCATGCCAAACTGGTGACTAAACTGCAAGGCAAAGTGTACGTTTGTGTGCAAAGAAGAGAACCAGATCTGTGCTCATGCAAAAAATCTGACAATGGCGCCCCCTGGTGGGGTGAAAACAAATAGCCGAGGGGGGTGACTGAGGGATCCCAACGTAAACTGCCGCATTAAATGAGAATCTGAGCCGATAGAGGGTCAACGGATCACTGTTTTTCTTTTTAAATTTGATTACGAAGATTTTTTACATATTCAAATTCAAATAGTGGATGTTATTCTTGTAAGTTCTAGTATTCTATGTCAGGGGTACTCAATACAATAATTTGATGCAGGCCACTCAATCGAACCCCCTCCAAATCCTATTGGGAAAATTTTCTCAGGGACAGTGGACCATGGCTTTGTGTCACTGATGGAATTTGGATCTCTGGGACAAACTACGTGGTCAACAGACACATGGTTTGTAACTAACACTGTATTGGTGCTTTTCCACCGGCATACAGGAACTGAGTCGTACTGGAGCCGTACCGCGAAGAGAGACTGGCTACAGAGCAGTTCCAGTTCATTTTGGTTTCCCACTGCAGAAGGGTCAGCACGGGGTTTAGAGAACGCTGGTGCCGTAACACCAGAGAGACTCTTATTTACCGTTCACACGGTGTACATCATGATTTACTCTGTGCTAATTTCCAAATTTTCTAGCACATCTGTGTGAATCACGGCGTCATGTTACCATCAAATGTTAATGAGATTAGCATTCACTTATGCAAATTTGCATTAAGAATAAACGCTGTTCAGCTGTTGTATAGCACTTTAAGTGGGTGATTGGAAATCTTCAAGTTCCAAGTTATCGGGAATATATAAATACATGGCGATATGAGATTCTACTTACAATGAAAAATATATAGAATATGGCCTTATTTCTTTCAGATGATCCATGCATATTGAAGCAGAACACCGGTATCTCTCTGCATTTCGACCAATCAGGCTCGGGCACGGCTCGGGCACGGCTCGGTTCTTGGTTACATGTTAACCCCAGTGTCAAATTAAATGAAGTCTTGGCAAAACGGCAGTTTCTATTCACTTAGGGGTTGTTTTTTTTTGTCCTTCAGTTAATCAACCTGGCAGCGCTTTTGGTTCCCCTGGCTTGCAGTTTACGTCACATTTGTAAATTGGGGCTGATTGAACAGCCAGGCTTCTTCTTGGCATGTTCACGTTAAGACATGAGTCGGTATGATAATGAAGGAAGAGTAGGTGTGAAGCCTACAGAGATACACGTAAGTAGGGATGGACGCACCTGCGCAATGGCGGCCTCGTTGTCGGCCAGGCCCAGCAGGAAGATGCGGGCCTTGTCGATCTTCACGGGCACGGTGCGGCCGCGCCACTCCACCTCGCTCATGGTGGCGGCCTGCCTCGCCCTGGTCTGCGTGATCAGCGCCTAGCGACAGAGGCGAAACCCCGTTAAATTGCTGTATTAACATGCCTGCGACATGCGAACTAGCCACTGATACAATGCGGCATATAAATGAACGAGGACGCAAAGCCTATATGATGGCTATTTAAGAATAAGTGCATCAAAATGTGAAAAATTTTAACTGAATTTAACTGAGACAGCATCATTAATTTGATTTATTTCCCTATGTCTTTGGTGCCAGCTTATCAGATGTATGCAGGTCGATTCTCACCATCTGAGATAAAACCTGAGGAAATACTCTGCTTTCAGCTTCTAAACTTTTATCATACAAGATAAGGTCATGAATCACCTTAGTGCACCAGGGGCTACGCAGGAAATTTCTTGATGGATGATTTATTTTTTCCTAGAAGTTAATCCAAGACTAAACTGCTAGTTATTTAGGTAGAGATCTTGACTAGGCTGCCGTTCGTGCTCTTCACTGCTGAAGTTACCCCAAAGCCCGAAGCTGCACTGACCTCCAGCTTCTCTGCTATCATGCCGCCGCCTCCCCCGGCGCTCAGCCTCATCAGCTTCAGGTCGTTGATGGCATTATGGTCACCTAGGAGTCAGAGCAGACTGTGAGAGGCGGGACAGCGCGTGCAGGACGTGCGGGTCGCTGAGGAGCCGCCGCGGCCCTCACCGATGTTGTAGGCACAGTAGCGGATGTTAGGAGATATCTCCTCCACGCGCTGGTGGTACAGCACCGACTGCTCCTCAGTGAAGGCACTGGCCAGCTTCTCGTAGATCGTTCTGGGCACAAAGACACACAAGGGGTTAAATACGACGAGAAACGAAAGTGATCTCAGAATACAGTGCCCCCTGCATCTTACATGGTCAACTGGTTCCACAACCAACTGCGATACTCCAAAACCGTGTAAGTTCAAGCCCGCTTACATAAAAGTGCCTATTTACTTTGCATATACACCTACTCCCAACCTGTCATATACTTTAAATCAAGCAAATATTACAGAACTGTACCTATTCAATGTCAATTCTATATGAAAACAGTACAGTAGGGCACGTTACCGCTAACTTTTTAAAGACCCATATCTTACACAAAAGGGTAGCACAAAACACAATTAGCAAATGCTATAGCACAGCGTATGAACAGCGAGAGCAGCTCAGCCCCCAAGCAGAGCTGGACAGCAGCTCAGTCAGGATGCCGACCAGTGGATGTTTGAACAGACAATGTGCTGACGCTGACACACACACACACACAGTGCTCAATCCACGCGCCAATTTGAAATGATGCATTTTGGTTCGTTTTACGGCTTTTACTATATTTTCAAACTGCATAAGATGCCGGCTGACTATATTCAGAAATACTTCTTTATGACGACTGAAGAGAAACCTTCCTCGAAGCTCCTGATGACTAGCAAACCCATAGCAAACATACTTCTCTGGCCAAAACAAAGACCAGAACCCACACACCGATGTGTTTCTGATATAGGCGAAGGTCATGGCCATTTAAGGCAGACTCGGCTGTTATTTCACTGCCTCAATAATAACAGCATAATATCGAACGTACTTGCACTTATTGAAGGCCTCCATTGCAGGTTTCCACTCCTGCAGCTCGAACTGCACCATCCCAACCAGGTAAGCGGTGTAGGCCTGCGATCAATCAGTCAGTCAGTTAAATAAATATCTTTGGAGGAGGGTGCAGAAGGCATAACTTCCCCCGGCCGCTGGCCGCCATCACCTGGGCTTCCAGCTTGGTCTTGGCGTCCACGCGGCGGCTCTCACACAGCCTCTCCAGCTGCTCCGCGTGCTTGGCCGCCTTCCGCAGGCGAGCCATCAGGTGGAAGCGCTTCCGGGGCTCCGTGTTGGCCTCCATCTTCAGCTGCATGGAGTAACTCCAGGCCCGTTCTGCCTCCATCAGGACCAGCAGCAGGTACCTGTACAGAGTATTATTTAGCACTTCATAATTCAATTCAATTCAATTCAATTCAATTTTATTTATATAGTGCATTATCACAACATTACATTGTCTCAATGCGCTTTACATTTCTGCCTCGTAAGGATGCATAGAGAATAATGCATAGAGAATGGGGACACTATTAAGAATCTGATGTAAACCGTGTAGAGTGTGACCATTAGAGAATGCAGACCAATTACTGCTGTGCACAATGTGCCAGAAAGTATGAATTAGCACCTTGTGTTGGCTTAGAAGTTTCTGTATCTGTTAGCTATTTTATATTAGCCTTTGATGTATGAATATGTACTTTTTTTTTTTTAGTGCTGCAGCTTATCACTATGTTGAAGGACAAATATATTATCAACCCTCTAGCCAGACAATGTGCAACAAGCTGAGGCTGCCAAGGTTTGCTATTGAAGGGAGGGATTCGCCTCCTGATTGGCAGCGAAAGAAAAAACGGGAAACAGGGAGCAGCAGACGGGAAGCAGGAAGACATGTAACATGAGTACTGGAATGTTGCTGATGAAGCATATCGAGAAGATGGGACTTCCATTATGGCACTAGATAGAATTCAGTAAAATGTAAGGTGTTACCAAGCCCTGGAAATTTTACCAGCAAATGACAAACGCTTTAAAAGGTACCTGTTGTCAGTGAGCATATCCTCAGTCACTTTCTTTCCAGTGAACTTGTGCCTGTTGCCCATTTTGAAGCCCAGCGTCTTGCGGAGACGCCGCAGGCGGCGAGAACAGTACCCTCTGACAGGACAAGGACAAGCAGCAGAGCTTAGGTGGCAATACTGGCACATTGCAGAAAATTCCCTCTCGACATCATCTTTCTAGAGCACAACCAAGACCCAAATGGTATTACTGTTATGTAACATTAGTGCACCCCCCCTCACCTGTATCTCTGGTAATCCCCATGCCTCAAGCCATGCTGCTGCTGGGAGTCCTTAATGATCTGCAGAACTAAGAAGGAGCGTTAAGGAACCCTTTGAACACCCGCCGAAACCCGACCCAAATGAAGGGATCTCAGACCACGGAGAACAGACTCTCAGATATTTATAAGACATACTGATTACGTTTTTGACATTCCATCTGGAAGCATACGACATGAGTGTTCTCATTGAACACATTCGTTTCGAGCAATATGTTTAGTGAAGGTCTGCAGTTACCCATAAACATCAATACGGTTCAAATGTTAACACCGTTAAAATACTACTAGCAATCAGACGCTTATGTTAATAATACAATATTCATATATTAGAAATAAATATGGGCAATATTCATAATTCTTCAAAATGATCACATTCATGATGTATCTCTTGTAATTTAATCCGACATTATTCTAAAAACAAGTTAAAACAGGTACTAGATGTTGATACAGCTGTGACACGTAGACTAACTAACTAAGATGACTGGCCAATCGCTAACCCCCACCCCTCCCGACCATGTCTATATGAACTGCTCAATAAGGTGAGAGATCATACGTCTAGTACCAATATTAATCAAGACGAAACATCGATGATGAACTAATCGCAAGGATACTTTCTAGTCCAAGTGTCTCGTCGGTTGTATTCTCTTTATTTTCATCCATTCCGGTAAGTTTAGCCTCACTCTGCTTTTCACCGGCCATCTTTTCGACGAGCATACCACCGGAAGCTGGAATAATGAACCGGAACCTAAAGCAAAGGTCAACTCTAGGGTGGAGCCTAACTGACGCCATTTTTGTTGTGTCTGAAAGCAGATTTTAACGACAGTTGAAGGTTTTGAAATAGGTTTGTGGTACACAGGACTAAACAATATCAATCATAAATGAACAAGACCTGTGGCCTGTACTACGAAGCGGGGTTACTGGCTTATCGGGGTAACTTGACAGATTTAAGGTACCACAGTTTAAATGGACTTAATATTCGCTCACTTACATTTTGCCCAGACTACCTTAAATCCAGCAAGTTACCCCGATAAGCCAGTAACCCCGCTTCGTAGTACAGGCCACAGGTGTACCAAAACATTAACACTAAGGTTAAGACTTGGATTTATTTCCTTTATTGCAGACCATATATGTGTGCAATGAGGATATCTTGCAAATCATTTTGTCCTTTAAATATAAATGGCATAGAAAAATAACCTTGTGTACAATACCCATAAAGCTGCAACATTCCATAAAATTTGCAATTTTTAACATAGAGTAATTGGTGTGCTACATTATATCACCCTGAAATTGTCAACCATTCCAAATCAGGTTGTGTTATTCACCTTGTAAATACCTACATTGAGAGCATATCATTATTTTTAGTAGTTGGAACATCTGATTGCCTGCTTTAGTGCAGCATTCATAAACAGCCAACGCTTATTAAGTCATAGTTTTAATAAATGTGTTGTATATTGAAATTATTGATAAGGAAAGGTTACTCTGGATGAAATCTAGGGGAAAATTTGTGTTCATAAGTTACTATTGCAAGTTTTCAACTAAGTTGAATGAAACCACTTTCAGGAGGTAAGAATTAAACCTGGTTGACCTAATTTTTAACATTTGATCACATTATTCTTTTTCACATTCTTCAATTTGTCCATTTGCTGTATTTGGGCCAATGAAGAGAAAAAAAAATACATATACCTTTTATTAGCATTTGAGAGAGAAAATCACAAGGCTTACAAAATAAATACAAAAACACACTGGATTCCATTTATCGCACGTCCTCCGTTCATGTGGAGCTGCCCCACTCAGACATTTTCAGCAGCTGCGATGTATTTCGCCAGAAAGTTCTTGACCTCAGAGATGTGCATGGTCTCCTTGATGGTGGTGTCCCGGCTCCTCAGCTGTACCAGTCCACTCTCAAGAGTGCTGTCACTGATCACCACAGTGAACAGAACACCCATCTCATCGTACCTGCAGACACACGAACACGCTTTCAAAGATAGAGAACTGGAAGCAAATGCCAACAAACTGCACTGCTTAAAATCAACAGGAGGCAATTACTTGAGTTGCTCCGATGACGGCGACGTGCTCTCCAGGTGTCCTGGCCATGACGATATCCCACCATCCAGTAATTCTTGCAGCAAGCTCTCACAAACCTAGAGAAACAACAGCACTGGAATCAAAGGAACCAATCTGCTCAGGATAAAACTGAGCTGGTTGTATCTGTATTGGGTTTTTTTTAAACCATACTTATGTTCTGCAAGTGATTTTTATAGGAAAGATTCAGTGTTGCCTGGTGCATGTACTGAAGGTTCACAAAGAACCTACCCAACGAAGTTCCTCTTACCTGTCGCAGATCTGAAGTGGCTCCTTTACCCATGTTCACTGCCACTTTGACAGGGGTCAAACTGGGATGCAACTTCAACACCTAAAAAGAGTATATAAGCTTTAGTAAAAAGAGAAATTTTAACAACAATTGGAAATAAACATACAAGAGAACTATAGACAGCAATACAGAGCAAGACCTAAGAGGAGCAAAATAAAAGTTCTGCTTCAAAAGTTGTAAATGTTAGTGGTGAACTGAGATGTAGGCCTAATCATAGCAGTGATTAGCAGTTCTGAAGTGCTATCTTCATTTTGTATTTCAAGTGTGAATTAGTTTTTTGTTTGAGGTCTATTATTTATTCATTTGTACATTTTCTTACTATATTTAAGGATAAGGTAAAGATTCTTAATGAGCTCTCCACTGAAAAGTTGAGAAGTTCCATAACTGTATTGTTACTTTTGATTTCCTAATGGCTTGCACTTAAGTAGATGTCAGTATTGACCTTGTACAGACCATTGGCCAAATTAAATTATGGTGTTGGCATCAGCCCTAGAAAAACCGATACTGGTCAACCATTACAAATTTTTACTGTGTTCCAAGATGTTCCGTTTGTCTAAATCCTGAGAGACTCCAGGAAAAAATGAAAGAGAGAGACATCACCTTTCTCATATGCTGTCTTTGCCTATTGTCCACCTTCTTAACCTCCTGCAGAGAATTATGGAGGTAAGCCTGCACACCTCGGTCTATGTTTCCACTCACAGAAATCACATGAGGGACTACAGACCTCTTCCCATCTCTACACTGTGGAATACAAAGGTTGAGAGATGGGCATCTGGCATTACACTTTCACACAATTGATACTGAATGACTTGAGTATTACAGGCAATGCCATTCATCTGGATCTGAGGACATTAAAACCTTGTCCCCAACAGTAAAAATTAGATGATCGGAACTTTGGTACGATGGCTGGCAAGAGATTTAATTCGAGACATGTCTGCACACCCACTTACAAATATGCTTTATTACCTTGTAAATAGTTTGTATGGTTTGCAAACTACCCCAGTGCTTGCGATGTAACTAATTTTAGGTTAATAGTGGAATAATATAGACTTGCCGTAAGATTTCTTTGGTGAGCGTGAGAGTTAGAAAGCGTGTCACGCCTGAGAGTTGGCGACCCTGGATGATAAATACTGAGCCATGAGCAGGGGAGTTAGTTTGGGTGAGGGGAGCAGATGAATGAAGAAGGCAAACCTGCAGCTTGGCCTGACTGCCCATGTGAATCTGCAGCAGCTCCGTGTTCCCCAAGTTCCACAGCGTCTCCAAAGCTTCTGAACCCCAGGGGAACTGGTACAACACCTTAATACCCCTTTTCACATTTTCCCCCTCTTCCCCAACTGTGACATCACTGCAGCTGAAACTAGATGGGCCCAAAGCAAACTAGAGAGGTAAAAAAAAAAACAGACCATAGAGTAAGAGTTAAAGCTGAACATGAAAATCCAGCTATAGATTGAGCAGGCATGAATAACCTATGCCTGACCTGTATGTCACTTTGGACAAAAGCAGCTACTACATAAATAAGTGTATTCACCCAAGTCAAGTCTATTACAAAATTAGCAAATACCCAAATGCAAATCTAAATCAAATTCTAATGAGGAAATTAGAACTTAGGTTCTCATAAGAACATAAGAAATTTACAAACGAGAGGAGGCCATTCAGCCCATCAAGCTCGTTTGGGGGGAACTTAACTAATAGCTCAGAGTTGTTAAAATCTTATCTAACTCTGATTTAAAGGAACTCAGGGTTTTAGCTTCCACTACACTAGCAGGAAGACTATTCCATAATCCAACTACACGCTGTGTAAAGAAGCGCTTTCTCAAATTCATTTTAAAATGTTCTCCCGCTAATTTCCACTTATGGCCACGAGTTCTAGTATTTAAACTAATACTGAAGTTGCCATTTAGCTGAACAGCATCAATACCTGTTAGAATCTTATAGACCTGGATCATGTCCCCTGTTAGTCTCCTTTGCTTGAGGCTGAACAGATTCAGCTCAGCTAACCTCTCCTCATGTTCCATAAAGCTCCCTACCTTCCTCCACCACTGGAGACGCTGACGAGCCCAATAGTCCAGCCACTGGGATGAGGTGCGTGGTGAGCAGAACCAGACAAGGGAGGCCTGCATAACCTCAGATGGGCTGCTGGGGGAAAACACACAGGTCACTGCTAACGCTACCCACCACCGGCAATACCTCATGACCAGACTCCTTCAAATGTTCATACTTCATATGATGGAAATTTCATAGTTTAGCATGAAACGTTAGATGATGCATTTCTCACCAATCAAGCTCACCAGGTTGGTCCTCAGGCAGCTGGTAGCACAAGCCTGTCTCTGCCAGGCCAAAGGGTAACTTCCTGTTCACCAGTTCCAGAGAGGCAATGTACTGCTCCAGTGCACCTGGTGCACACAAGCACACGTTAAAGGACCAACGGTCATTTCACAACCCCAAATAAAACCATTCGAGAACCACATTAAAATTATTACCTTGCAGTAGACTGGTCCGCATGGACACACTGCCCTGCAGAAGTTTCTGTAAAGCATCTCCTTTTGACTTTCCAGTCATCTCCCCCTGGCGAAGAGCTTGGTGCAAAGCTTCAGTGTCTATGAGTTTCAGAGTTCTTTCTAGGGCAACAGATCCGCCCCTGAAGCCATGGAGAGTGTTGATACCAAAAACCTGCGGCCTGGTCGTAACCATTGAACTCCACCACTGATCCAATATGTTCTTCCTGAGCTCCATTCCCAAGGGTCCATAAACACAGCTGATGCCACGACGAATACGCTTGGGGGTGTGATGGTCGTGGGCTATGTAGTGACGATCGGAGCACAGTTTCATCACAGTGCCCATGTGATCGGTTTCATCAAAGGCAGCACCAGCGTTAGTGCAACCTCTACAATGCAATAACTCTAACCATACCGTCCGCTCCTTCCTAAGCAAAAGCTGCCTTCTCACACAAAATGTAACCATTTTTACTCAGGGACTCATTCAAAAGAAAAGAAAAAAAACAGGAACGAGAAAATTATCAAAACTCAAGCTGCATATATGGTTCACATCTTAATTATGTGAAATATTTCTTTCTCCACGGTAAAGCTCTGATCAATATACATATCGTTATAACGTATGAATGCATTTGTGTTCCTAGTCAGAGATAAAATTCTTAGGTCAGGAAAAGTTAAAATAAGTATTGCATTGACCTAAGATGTCCGTAATAATAATATTATTAATGTAAATGACTGAAACGACAGCCTTGATAAACAAACCCAGACAGACGGTTCAGCCCACAAACGCACATGATTCCGAATGGAGCCCGAGACGTCAGCATCCTCCCCGACTTAAACCGGAACCAATTCGCCTAGCTCGCCGGCATAGATATACAGTCAGAACACAGACTCAACGTATTATCATATGATACAATTATATTGATCATTTCTGGAAATGGCTGACAAAAAAAAACACCTTTAGGATGCAAAACAGGAATCATTCATCGATCCTAGTTATGTAAAAAAAAAAAAAAAAACTGCGTTACCAGAGACGTTATTAATTCTGTACAAATCTGAAATTCATTTTCAAAGTAGTATACGTTTATATATATGTTCTGGGGTAATAATTCGCCACGCAGAAATCCCTTTTTCAGATTGGGAGCTGTTTGAATGTCGAACCGCGAACAGCGTCGGACCTTACCGGGGTCACTTCCGCTTTAAGGGCAAAGCGTGCGCGTGCAGCAGGCGGCGGATTGACCTTTCGCACGTGGTCTCCAACCAGAAGCATCGTTATAACGGGGTACCCAATCTTATCCGCAAAGGGCGGTTTTTGGGATAACTTGTAGGTCAGCTGTTCAAACCCAGGTGTGAGGATTCTTTCAGCCAATCAGTCCTCTAATTAGTAATCCAATTAGGGAGTTGCAGCGAAAACCCGCATACACACCGGCCCTTTGCGGATAAGATTGGGTACCCCTGTTATAGACTATATGACATTATTTTGTGGATTTGAAGCTGAATCCAAAATGTATTGTGTTCATTATATAACACGTTGCAATAATTTGAGTTATGTGCGACGACGTCTATTTATATTTACGTCTTATCGACAGTATATTTTATCCGCTTCTATCATGTTTTTAAATCACATGTGATTAGCGATGTTTTGCTGGATGCCTGTAACTGAGCATCAGCCATTACCTATTAATTGAATCACACAAACCATATCGTATTTTTTGTCTTTTATTCAACTTGACAAGCCATGCACTGCCTTCTTTAAAGAGTAACATAACTTATACACATTCAAATGATTTGCATTACCTACAAGAAAAAAAAGTTATGATTAACTCAGACACCAATGGGAACGGTTTCAAGTTCAGAGTCATTTCAACCCTGTTGTGGAAAAGAAATACAGTGAAATAACTGTACTTAAAATAATTTATCACTATAGGTCTAGTGCATTTTTACTGTGGAAAAGCTGGGGGCATAGGATATGGTACCATGGGTGGTGGCGGCTGCTGCGGGTTGTATGGAAACGGTGGGTGGCTTATGCCGTTCTGGGCCGGCCCCTGATTTCCTCCAAACTGCTGGTTCTGGAAGTTTGGATTACCAAACCCACCAGCAGAGGGTGCAGTACCAAAGTTGGACTGTCCATTATTAACATAACCATTTCCAAAACCACTGCTGCTGGTGGAGGTGGTGGTAGTAGTGTCATAACTACCTGCTCCATAGGTTCCATTCTGGATCTTTGTGCCAAAACTCCTGTCATTATCTTTATCCCTAAAGCCACCAAAATCTCGCCTGCCACCGGAATACCTATCACGGCGGTCATCCTTATAAGTACCTCGTCCCCCCCTTGAACGACCTGAAAAAGAAGAATAAAACATCACGAGAACGATTACACACTGCAACAAGCAATGGCTCAACTGTCCTGTATCAGAGTATTTAGCAAGTTGTGAATGGAAACCATTTATGATCTATAGACAGGGATTCATCATTAGGGCTTTTGCTGGTCAGCCAAGTCTGTTGAATTGCTAGGCCTTAAACTAAGGCATGCACAAAGAAACAAAACCTTCCCTAAAGCAAAACTCATATTTACAGATTAGCCAGTTACCATCAACAACAATTTACCTCCTCTGTCTTCTGCCATTTGGATGAGCTTAGGGTTGATAGCCTGATTGGCTTCACGAAGCACAGAGATGAGGTCGTTTGCCTGTTTCATGTTGCCAGGCGTAAAGAAGGTGTAGGCCGTGCCCGTTTTTTGACTACGGGCAGTTCTTCCAATGCGGTGGATATAGTCCTCAGAGGAGTTAGGGTAGTCATAATTGATGACAAATTTCACATCTTCCACATCTGTAAAGTGTTGCAGTGTGGCAAAAGGAGCGTACAAGGTTTTGCACACCACAACAGCCAGACCAAAAACACCACATTAGCAAGATCACAACGTAAAAGAAAAAAAAAAAACAGAAGAGACTCCGGGCTGCAAAGAATTTTGTTATTACAAATAAAACATTCCAAATCCATGGGAATACTACTGTGGGAAGAGAAAAACGATGCACACTCCATTTCCTTCAGCCAAGATCAAAAAAATTAAAACAAAAACATCCTAATGCATCCACCCTCCCTTCTAAAAACAAAAGACTGGTTTTAAAAATCTTACCACAAAGGAGTATGCATTCACTAGTCCTTTCCCAATGCAGCGAACTCCCCAATAACTGTCAAGTGACATCCAGGTGCTTCTACGCAGTAGGGCCACTAAGTGCACTGTTGTCTCCTCATGTGCCAATATACGACCTCTCATTGGGAAAGGCACTGAAGGTCCTTTCCTCTTAAACACTCATATGAAACTTGCTATAAAGGCCACACTGCATGTCTTGCCAAGACCATATAGACCAGCTCTAGTCTGGGGGGGACCCATAAGAAGAAAAGAAAAAAAAAAGAAAAAGAAAAAAAAAAAAGGTCCAAGCCAACCCCGAAACTACACAAAAAGCATCCCCCCACGTGATTCGTCTAGGCAAGATCTTCCCAGAAGCCAGTGTTCACTTGAGAAAAAGTCTCTCATTGGCAGGTCTCGACATGACTTAAAAACACAGGCGAGGGAGGAACCTGAATTTGGTAGAAGCTTCTACATTTCCCACTTCTTACTAGATGTCCCACCGTCACTAGATGTGCCAGTTCAATTTTGATACTGAGGTGTGTTGAAACTGCTCTCTCCATAGGAAGAATACAAGATTTCCCCCCTCTCTTTCTGTAAGCTATGCACCATTCAGCGACACCCATGCTTTGACAAGTTTGCAAGAGAGAAACATCCAATTCTCAAACTGACTTGCCATACATTGTTCTACAACAGGAATGCAAGGCAAGGTCACAAGCACAAAGCCATGTTTGAGTTGGAGCAGAGCTGGGTGAATGGCATCTCAGGTAAATCCATGGACAGAGAACAGATGGTATTAGAGCAAGGCTTAGCCACTCTGCCTTTTGAAGATTACTGGCACACAATGCTGAACTCAGCCTTTCACCTCTCTACCCGACTGGGTGGCAGCCAGTCGGTCACTTCCAATAGTCCTCCATCCCCCTCTCGAGGCCTGGGACTTGTCATGCCTAGGCCCTGCCACAAAGACTGCACCTTTAGGTGAGAAAAACTCAGAAAATGCACAGAAGTTAAAGAAAGCAATACACTTTCTTTAATGTAAAACATTTTAAGAAGTGGATCAGAAGGGAATCATAAAGGGTACTAACCTAAACCTCTGGAGGCTACATCTGTTGCAATGAGTATGGGTGCCTTCCCAAACTTGAATTCTGAAAAGAGGAAACCTTCAAGAGACTGCTAAACAAGTAAGCCATGTAAAATGTACAAATATCAATGCAATATACCATTCAGAACCCAGTCTCTCTCCTGTTGACTCTTATCTCCATGGATACCCATTGCTGGCCAACTGCAAAGAAAAAAAAAAAAGTTATGAAAAACCTCCAAACTTAAATGAAGTTCCAAAACAACAACACGAGATACCAACCCATCTCTTCTCATTCTCCTCGTTAGATCATCGCAACGTCTCTTCGTCTCAACAAAGATAATGGTCTTGTTTTCCTTTTCACTCATGATTTCTTCAAGCAGCCGAAGGAGCCTTATAGGAGAAATGAGCATGTCACTTCCAGGAACTTTGCAAACTTTAAGGCCAGTATTAAATTCTGCCTGTGTACTTATGTGGGCAGAGGGGTCTTAATGGTTAGAGAAGCGCACTTGTAATCGAAAGACCAGCAAGGCACCACTGAGGTACCCTGAGCAAGGTACCGCCCCTAAGCACAGCTCCCCAGGTGCTGAATTAGCTGCCCCCTGCTATGTCACGATGTCACATAAGGGTTAAACGTAGAGGATACATTTCGTTGTTGTGCACTGTGTGCTGTGTTGTATCACCAATGATCACCAAATTTGAAAATTCTAAATTCTTATACTGCTCACAACTTAGAAAAAAAACACCTATTTCACCACTGGATCTGGCAATGGTACAACTTACTTGTCGTCCTTCTCGCCATCGTTGCACACGTCCACAATCTGAAGGATGTTGTGGTTGGCACTCAGCTGCAGAGCCCCCACATTAATCTGCACATACTCCTTCAGGAAGTCCTCAGCCAACTGGCGTACCTCCTTGGGCCATGTGGCACTCCACATGAGCGTCTGCCTGTCAGGCTTTATATGAGAAAAGCTAATTAACACCACTCTTAATAAAGCTGCTAGTTCAAGGTACTAAAGGTACTGGAAACCCTTAAACATTACTTAAAAACCTACTCTGATCTGGTCCACGATTTTTCGGATCTGTGGCTCAAAGCCCATGTCAAGCATTCGGTCAGCTTCATCGAGGACCAGGTAAGTGCATCGGCGTAAATTTGTCTTCCCAGCTTCAAGGAAATCGATAAGCCTTCCAGGCGTTGCAATGCAGATCTCAACACCTGTAAAACAATGACCCAGGTTTACACTATCCAAGTGGCATCCTACTGCAGCTACAGGGCACTTGTACATAAAGTTGGGTAATTTAGGTCCAGAGAGTAAAAGTCCAGACCGGGATTTTGTTTCAACCAACCAGCTGAATACTCTGTGACTCTTTATGCTCAACTGGTTGGTTGAAACAAAATCCCGGTCTGGACTTTTACTCTCTGGACCTGAATTATCCACCTGTGCATACAGCAGTATAGGACATACCTCTTTCGAGGTCTCGGATCTGTGGTCCTTTGGGCGCTCCTCCATAAATGCAAGTGGACTTCAAGCGAGATGCTCGTCCGTACTCAGCAGCAACTTGCTGTACCTGCTGCGCCAGCTCACGGGTAGGGGCAAGCACCAAGCACTGGAAGATACGGGTGCAGTACATAAAGTGCCCATTTCAAGCAAAATTAGGGCATTTTTAGTAGGCCACTGTTAAATACTTACAATTGGGCCATCACCAGGCTCCAGGAATGGCTGGTGATTAATATGCACAATTGCTGGTAGGAGATACTGCAAAGATGTCAGAGAGAAAAGACGTCTCAGATGAATTTCGAACACATTTGTAAGACCAAAGCAGCTAGCACAGTAAAGGTAATGCTCATTTTTATACACAAAGACAGACTTAGTGGCACAATTACTTACCGAAAGTGTTTTTCCAGATCCAGTCTGTGCAATACCAACCATGTCCTTTCCACTCAAGGCCAAGGGCCAGCCCTGGGCTTGAATGGGGGTGGGTTCTGTAAAGTTTTGCTTGGTAATCACATCCATGACATAATCTGGAGGGAAGGGGAGAGCATATGTTGTAGACAGTTGTGAAACTAGGGTGGCCCAATGACTTTACATGTATAAATACTAACTGGGAAAATTGGCCTCATGGAACTTCATTATGGGGTTCGGACAGTCTCTGCCCTTAACCGTAACTTCTTTGCTTCTCCTGTATTGCTCAACCTCTTGCTGTAAGGCAGAAACAGGTATCATTGGCACGCTCCTCCAGGCCGGAGCCAAGCCTTTGCACATGGGCAAAACAATGAAGCTTCTTTGACCAGGCAAAAGCCATTGTGCAGACCGGCACGAGCAAGGGCATCCATTGGAGCAACAGGACGACACTCACCGCTGTCCGCCGCGCGACGTCGGGATGCTCCTTATAAAAATTTTTCTCAAATTTTGGAAGCTCGTCCAGATTCCAGTGTTTCTTGCGTAGCCTTTCACCCGGGTTGCCAAACTTCCCCGGAGGGGGACCACAGCGGCTACCGCCAAAGCGAGGTGCACCTCCATAGCTGTGATAACAGGAGGGGACAAGGGACACCGGTTCATTTCCACGACTTATTACATAAGACCGTTATTCTTCCTAGCCTTTCAGTTAGGCGTAAACTGAGGGGGGTGATTAAGCAAAGTCACATACTTGACGCGCAGGCAAACATAGCAGATGGGAAGGTGTAAGGCACGGCTTCTCCGTACTGTATGTGGTGGTAATGTACAGTAACATGACATTATTATATGTCTGCGACTCGCAGACGGGGTCGGATTCCTCCAGTCCTGCGTCATATTTTAAGCCGCTGCCATTTTAATTCAGACCAGCGTAGGAACAAAGAAAAACCGGCCGGCATTTTGTATTCATTAAGGTATATCAGACACCCCGAGACAAGGAGCCAAATTGCCTAATTAAACACGTTAGCGGAATGGTGAGGAAAAGTATCTCGTTTCCGTTATGTGCATAAACAGTTTAAATAAAGATTCAGGTTTTCGTCCATTTTAAGAATCAATTTAATCATTATAAGATTTTTTTTTAGAAGTCACCCTGGTGGAACAGTTAAGCTAGATAAGGCTAAATGACGCATGGACAACTACACGTACCAAACCAATTCAAATAAATATATTCCAGGCACATACCTACAGATCACAAGCAACCGGCTTTTACATCACTCGGCAGCTATTATCTATCTAACAAACCAAATTCTCTCAATTTACCTTCTGTCTCGGCCTCGATCTCTGTCGGAAAATCCAGGCATGTCGTAAAATAAACCGACAATGAACTGTATAGCAAATGTCAACGGTCACAACTTTTTTATCTCTGCTGACAAAGGCGAGGAAAATGCCGGTTTCCTTTTCGGGAAAAGCTAGTTTATATTTCAGCAGAAAGCCTCACGAGACACCGGCAGGTGTATCCTTCCGCATGCGGACGGGACTACTTTCAGACGCCCAGAAAAGGGGCACTGCAAGTTCGCTGGTTTATGCGGCACCAAGTTGGCAGGAAGAATCCTCGCTTCTGCAGCATTGCCAGCATGTAGGAGGCTTTACTTATTAAGAGGCGTGCATGGATTTGTACTAAATAATATGCATTAATGGTGGTTTACTGTATGGTAAACTAATATGCTGATCTGAAACAGAAAAAAACAAGTTTCTCTGTATAGATAAGTTAAAAAAATACTATAAATAGATCCTGGAAAACAGCCATTAAATATTGACTTAGGGAAGTCGTCAGTTCTTTGTCAAACTTTTGTGGTAAAACACGAACTTCATGAGGTATGTACAAAATACAGCTTTGGCATAAAGCGTTTGATGAAGAACGGCAGAATATCCTCCACAAAATAGCTCAGTATATAGCAGTCGTTGTGTCACTTGGTATAGCTAAATATTTGTTTTTGTAATATTTAGTATACGAGTTTTAGGTATGATCAGTCATGAATTAAAATGCTTTATTCTGCGAACAAATAAATAAACTGGCCCAACTAAAGGACAGCATGACAATTAGATATTCGATCGTGTGATTAGTCATGTAACGCAATGCAAAATAATAATAGTTTGACTTTTGCCAAAACTAAAAGAAAATAATGTGGCTCATACACTTATCCAGCAGCCAACGGAAGGTGCAACCTGAAGCTTCCGTGTAACAGGTTTACTGTTCTTGCTGTTGACAAAATAATGTATCTTAATTACTCCAGTAAAGTGTCTAATTGTAAAATCTGTAATCTATAAGATTATTTTTATTGAATATATACTACTCACCAAATAGACTAGATATGTAACTTTAGCGGTTGCACGGCAACACAATCTATCACCACGTATCATAAATATTTATTTTAATATTACTGTTAATTTCCAGTAAATCTTATGTAAAATGACCTATACTGAACTGCCATTGTCCCAAAACGTCGAGTCGAACTTCAGTCGTGTTTGTTTCATATCAATACATAATTCTGGTGCAAAAATAAACGACAGCCACGCGACAAACAAACATTTCATGTGTTTTCGTTCACTGTTCACTGTTTCGAAATATAATGCACTCTTTACAGCCCAGTCACAAGGGACTATTTTCTAAAAACACGGCGCATAATATCAATAGATGCGCCTTAGGCGCTTCCTCCACGGGCGCATGACGTCACCCATTTGAACCTGACAAGCATTATGAACAACCGCTGGATAATCGCGAACGTCAAAGCTGGCATCAAGCGGACCTAGTGATAATCTGTGCGCGTGGCCATAAAACGCCTGCTTCACTTATTAGGTTCCTGACTGTTAGGTAAGAAAAACAAGAAAAACCACAGTAACTTCAGTTGCACGATTTCCGGGAAGACGGGGGAGGGGTCGTTCACGCAGCCAATCAGAAGCGACTTCCTGTTTAAACGTGCCAACTGGGGTCGGGAAGGACCCTGACGTCGACTCGCTATCCTGGGGCGAAGTACCGCTGCTCTCAGCGCTCAAACTGGCTAAGTTAGTGTTCTCGCTGGAGCCAGGTAAACACATTCATGGGAAGCCAAGAGGAGAGAGGTTAGTACCGTCATCGCTGAATTATGCGACGTCTGTAGAGCCGTATGCAGTCCATGGCTGTTTATATGCTTTTGATGAATTGATAGCTGTATAACATCCAGGTTGCTTCACCTAAGTCAGTACTTCACCCCTAAAGAAATAAACTGAGCCGGTAGTCGGATCGGTTGGTTATGTTTACCACTTGATAGTTCTGGTCACTTGCTCCGTAGTTAACTACAGCCATGGTTGACTACCTACTTTTAGAAAGACGGCGCTAGTTAGATGCGTACAAGGTTGACGGTGATAGTTGTCTGCTTAGTTGAATTACACGGAATGCGGTTCATAGCGTCACCAGTAAACAAAGACACGCCGGGAGCCCCTGGGTGTTAATGGGTTTGCTGGCATCTGCTTTACGATTAACTCTCCGGGGTGCAAATAGTGTAACTTTGGGATTTTAGTCATTATGGGCATTCGCTTTAATCGCCGATTATATTGTCTATTGCTGTTTCCCGATTCCCATAAGGCTGCCTGGCCCCCAGTAACGTAACGGCATGTGTGTTGTGGTGCTGACACGGAGCGCGCAGGAGTTGCCCTTGAGCCTCTTGATAACGCCCTGGTCGATGCTGTGACAGGCTTGTTTTGCCCCGTGTTGCCGGGCCGGCCGTTACTAGAACGGCTACGACTCTGGCGCCTGTTTTCACGGCTGAGAGCGCCAACGGGGCGGCGCCGCCTGGCCGCGCACGGCGGGCTCGCTGTGAATGGAGGGAGCGCTGACTGCGGTCCGCTGGCGTCGTCGCTTATTTGCCCATGACTGACTAGACACGTTGTTGAAAGGAATAGGGAACTCCTTCCATTTTCGTCTGGCTGCACTGTTTGTAAAGAGCGATCAGCGGAAAAGGGAGCCGGGACAGGTATCGGATGCCCCACATGACTGATATGCTGGGGTCGATCGGATGCTGAGTGGCATCTCAGAAACTCTTATCTTGCACTTCTCCCTCTTCTATACCTGAACTCTATTAGCACAATGACATTTTATATTTACATTTCCTAACGGTAATGCATTTATTTCGCAGACTGGGTGGACGTGGCCAATGATCTTCTCAGCAAATGTCACATCAGCCTGAGGTTGGCGAAGGTGACGGACTGCGGCGCCAGTGTTTTTGTAGCCCTTTATCAAGCAATATTAGGGGAAAAGGTTCCAGGTAATTACACGCACGTTATTACTATATTTAAATACTTGCAGCTCGTTTCAAATACAGCTCGTTTTAAGATTCTAGTCATTGTTATAATTAATTTTAATTTATACTTGTCACAAGAATTTACACTGAACAGGAAACACGTGACCTTTCATTAAGATTTATTTTTTCCACGTTGTAATTATATAGTAAGGATTGTCAAGTGACCGTTTTTGGGTAACCTCTTCCCCTTCGGAATTCACCGTGCCTGTTGAAACACAGCTGCCCTCTTTAAGACGTGTGAGGGTGACTATTGTAAAACCCCATGAAAGTAGACCTAGCTGTTTTGTTAAATGGTTCCGTCTGCAGACTACATTGCTGCACCAAGGAGTCAGGAGGATGACGTTCACAACGTGCAGTCTGTGATTGACTCTCTGGCTTTGGACTACCTCCAGATAAGCTTGTCTCACATCACAGGTGAGTGGCCCGTTCCTCTGCTGGTGTCTGGGCTGTCGCACAAGAGCAGAGCTGGCAGTTTTCGTTTTACTGGGCGTTCAGACTCTGCTCGTCCACCAGACGCTGGTGTACAGAGATGCATGTCGGCGGAATGCGATGCCTTTAAGCCATCTGAAAAGGAAAGTGTAAAAGACCAGGATTCAGACTGATTTATCTTTTTAAAGGTGAAAATGTTGTGAGAGGGGACAAAGAATCCATCAAGAATCTGCTGGAAATTTTTGATGGCCTGCTGGAATATCTCACCGAGCAAGTAAGCGAAGAGGAATTAGCAGATGAAGGTACAGCCCGTCTGGTCATCTTGACGTATTGGTGTTTTCTGCAGCTTCTGCTTTAATTCGGCGTTGCCTTCTGGTGCCGTAACCCGTTGCGCGTTTCCTGCTGAGGCGCCATGTTTCTAAAAGCCAGGGCTTGCGTGGATGACGGTTGCAAGATTTTCATTTGATGAAGTCATCCCAACACACAGTGAACACGGCATGTTTTTGCTGGCAGTTTGGTTACAAAGAGCACTGGCATGTGTGCTTGATAAGACAGGCAGTGTTAAATGTTTTCTTCAGTGAGATGGTTAAAATTTAAAAGTCCTTTTAATCTGCAGCTGTTTGTAGGGTTCAAAAACATTTTTTTCTGATTGTAGTATAACACAATTGGGAGAGAAAGTCAGACTTGGTTTTCATCAGAACAGGGGGAAATTATGCTGCGATATGTGTAAGGATGCCATGTGTGGATTTGTAGTGAAGTTTAAATACTTCCTATGTGGGCCAGATAAGCTTGTCTCACATCACAGGTGAGTGGCCCGTTCCTCTGCTGGTGTCTGGGCTGTCGCACAACCAGTTGCCTTGATGTCAGTAAATATCCCCATGAGTTGACAGTGTTCTAGAATAGTCTTCGAAATGGGAGAGTCGGTTTCGCTTTGGTGGCAGGGTTGATGGACCTTTGGTGTTCCCTTTAACTGGATTTTGCTGTTTGAGTTTGAGGCCAGTGGCAGTCCTGCTTTTCATCTTCCAGATCACCCTCCACCCCTGGCCATTCACATCCATGTGTGTGTTTTGTCTCTGGCCTCTCAGGCGTTCAGTAGTACCCCTTTCTCTCGGCCTCCAGGTGAGCTGCACCACACGGCCAGCAAGGTGGGGACATCCACCGAGCAGCAGCTGGAGCGCCTGTCTCAGACGTCAAGCGTGCCGTACGTGTGACTGCTCTCTCGCCCTGCCTTTCTGTGACGAGCGACTGCAGTGATGACAGTGTGGGGTTAATTGTTGAGGACGTGTCCCCTCCCAGGGCATGGCTGACTGCTTTAGGGCGATGTGCTTGCCAGTATATAACAGGGATCATGAGGGCTGAGTTCCTTGTGGACATCACACATTTACCCATTGAATGGTCACAAGTTTGTGTAGAATTTTGTGCTGTGCGAATCAATACATTTCTGTTTTTGATACTGTTATTTACTTTAACTGCTTGGTGGATTGTCACTGTTTACCGAGAACGTTCCGCAGGAACCTTTAGGACAGTTTAAAAACAGCTGTCATATTTAGCAGCCCAAACTGGTTTTGCATCTTTCAGCCACCACTGTTCAATGTTTCTCCCGCATGACTTATTCATATGCTGGATACTGTAGCTGAGTCAACACAGTTTTGACTAATGGGACATGTTCCTGTATGTGCGTGTGTGTGTGTGTGTGTACACACACACACACACACACACACACACACACACACACACACACACACACACACACACACATACATATAGAGAGAGAGAGAGAGATATAGATATAGATATAGTTTCAAATGAAACCCTAAGAAAGAGCAGTGTGTTTCTGTGATCAGCGGTGCTGCTGCTCAGCCCATCGATGTGCCCCCTCTCCGATTTGCAGGTCTACCACCTATTCCAGCAAACACTCGGACAGCTCGGAGTCGACGGCCGAGCTCATCCGCCTGGGAGACTCTGCTCGCACTTTCATGGCCAGTCAGGAAGGTCGGTTGGTCTGGGATCCCAGCGGCCTCATCGCCCGGTGATGCAGGCGCGGCTGTGGGGACGCCCCCTTTGTGTTGGGCCTGGTCTGACGGGGCAAGGCTCTCCTAGAGGACTTATCTTCCCCAGTGCTTTTCTCTCCCGTTTTGATGGATGTATGAGGATTTGTCTGTGAACAAGCACTCTGGAAAATTTATTGAAAACTTTTTTTAATCATACAAAGCTGTCTTCTCTTCAGAGATGTACATCACTCCATCTGTTATGTCAGCAGCAAAAGACACTTAAAGACGGTGTGCTCTTTTACAGAAAGGATCAATGGTGTCCATCATGCAGACATTTCCTGGTCCAGGCTGGAGGTGGAAGCACCTCAGGACAGAGTGCAAGGTGAGCTGGATTGGGATACAGTTGTTAATCAGTTTTTATGGCGATTAGAACGCAAGGGCCTCGTGTCACAGTCTAACCCCCGGTGCCCATCTTCTGGCAGAGCTGGCCGGTTTACCTGAAGGGCTGGTCTCCACAGGCGCCTCCTTTCCCAACTCCTCTCTACTGAAGGAGCCCCTGCATTCGGCCGTCGCCCTGCAGCCCCCTTACCAGACCACCCCTCGCCGACCGGATCGGCTGGCCCACTCCGGTGCTCTGTCTCCAACCAGCATGCCCAGCCAGAGAGGGGCCGAGGTGGAGGACGAGGACCATCCCGCCGTCTCTGCTGTAAGTTCTTCATCACCCTCCTAATGCTATGCAGATTTTTTTGTTTGTTTGTTTGTTTTTTAACTTGCAAAATGTAGACAGAGCCGGTCGGTGTTTGATGAAGCGTTTAGCGGAACATTATGTGATGTCATGGCAATAGATACGGCTCTTGTTAGGTAAAGCCAAACTCCCAGTAAGAAGTCATAAACAAGTCCTTGAAAAATGCCACGCTGACGTTGACAGACGAGTTGCGGATTAAGGCAGTGTGCCTTCCTGCTACCCCGTGTCCTTCCCGCTACCCCGTGTCCTTCCCGCGCGCTTTAATCCCATGACGTGATGCCCGTATCACCAGCCCGCAGTGAGTTTAAGACGTTTGGGAAAACAGCTGCCATATTGCCAGAGATTAGTAAAAAAGAAGAGCATAAAAGCAGAACGAGAACTGAAACGATTTTATTCCTCTTTCCCCCGCCTGATTTTTTTTTTTACAGCAGTTTATTCAACGACGCATTACTTCTCAGGAAGGGTACAATGGAGCGGTCCTAGTGCCGAAATTTAAGTACAGTTATTAAAAGTAATTTCCCAGAAATCCAGGCCCTTTCAGTAAAAATCTTTATGCACGTTTTTTCCACTACTGGAGAGAGTTTCCCTATTACCTACTGTGTGTCCCCTAAGAGATGCAAGTACAGTGGGTTCTGTGTTGTAGTAAATTTGCTTTAATATTATGCCCTGAGTAAGTGCGCAGTAGTCACACGTTTCTGTGGGTGGTTATTTGCATATTCATTACAGTATATTTTTTCTTCATGCCTCTCTATGATGACTGCAGTATGTTTGCCTTTAAATAATTATGAGGGAATGATGTATAATGCAGAGTAAATTATTGCTCTGTTATACATCACCCTCCGTCTTCCTGGTGGC